TGATCTCGGCTCACTGCAACCTCTGCCTCCCGGGTTCAAGTGACTCTCCTCCCTCAGCCTCTCGAGTAGCTGGGATTACAGGTGCCAGCTACCATGTCTGGCTAATTTTTTGTATTTTTAGTAGAGAAAAGGTTTCACCATGTTGGCCAGGCTGGTCTCAAACTCCTGATCTCAGGTGATCCACCCTCCTCGGCCTCCCAAAGTGCTGGGATTTCAGGTGTGAGCCACTGCACTAGGCCAACCAGCCTTCCTCTTTGAATAAAATCATTCCCTTTCCAGGCTTTGCATTATTTACATCCTCAGAGGCCCCCATGCTGGCTCCTTGGTAACATTCAGTGCTTAGCTCACATGTCACCTTTTTAGGGAGGCATGACCTGGTCAAAACAGCACCTCCTGCCCACCACACCCCCTGCCATTCCCTATGTCCTTGCCTTGGTTTTCATTTTCATAGACTCTTAATCTGAAATGTGACTTTCTCTTGTATTTCTTGCCTATGCTGGAATGTAATATCCATGAAGCCGGTATTGGTGTGCTTTCCTCTCTTAACGTTTAGATCAGTGACTGGCAGGTTTTTATTTTTATTTTTTCAATTTTTTCCTAAATGTATTTTTCCAAATGCTAAATGAGAGGAGACAGAAAAAGGCATTCAAGATGAGGGACATCGCAAGAGTCAAAAGGGGGATGAAAAAGTTTGATTCATTTTCGTGAGCTGAAGACACTAGCTTGACAAAAGCAGAAAAAGCATAGTGGGAAATGAAACGATGTGGAGAAACCTGGAATCAAACTGAGAAACGTCTCAAATTCCAAAGCTAAATAGTCTAGAATTTATGTTTTAGGCACCTGGGAGACACTGAAGCTTTTGAACAAAGAAGTGAATCTTAATGGACACCTGAAGCCTTGAACACTACCAGACCCAAATGTATTGGTTTTTCTTATACATACATACCTATAAAAAAGGTTAATGTATAAATCAGGAACAGTAAAAGATTAGCAACAATAACATAAAAAATAAAGCAATTCAGTAAAATAAGGATCACTTGACACAGGCACTACAATACTGAGACTTACTCCGATAACTAAGATGGTGGCAAGTGACTAACGGGCGGGGAGTGTCCACAGTGTGGACACACTGGACAAAGGGAGAATTCACAGAATGAGATGGTGTGAGATTTCATCACACTGCCCAGAATGGCATACAACTTAAAACTGACGAATTGTTTATTTCTGGAATTTTCCATTTAATATTTTTGGACCACGGTTGACCGTAGGTAACTGAAACCATGGAAAGCAAAACCATGGAAAAAGGGGAATGCTACATTATGAGAATGGGAACAAGAAAGGGGAGGGCAGCCAGGTCACCAGCCATCCAAGAAGATGGTAGAGAGTGAAAGGAAGGCGAGTCCATGGTGATTCTAAGATTTTAAGCCATGTAACTAGGAAGATGGTGATTGAAACAGAGAAACTGGAAGAGAGAGTAAGATTCTGGGCTGTAGTTCCAGAAAGTCAATCTCTGGGAACAAAGACACAGATTAGGCAGCTGGTTCATTAACCCCTCTTCAGCGCCAGAGCACTCAGCAAATCACCACATTACTGACATAGCCGGCTGTCTGCACCATGACATCAGTGTGGGAGTGAGAACTGTCACTTATCTCTAATTCCTGGTGCCTGAAATGTTACTATAGTCAAAATTTTGTTGGCCAAATCACTGGTGCTAAGGAGATGGCTGAAACTGTGAGAATGAGGTAGTTCTCAAAGGAAAAAAAAAAAACTGAGCTTTGGGGAGTTGTCCTCAAAGGCTGTGAAGCAGAAAAGAAGTGAGGAAACAAAGTGGAGATCAGACAGTGAGGTAAAGGAAATTTGACAGAAATGAGAAAAACAAGTGTTTTGTTTTTAAGTCCAACAGCACAATGCAACACTAATAAAAGCACACAGTCATTTATAAGCACACTGAAGTCAGCAATATTTAAATAAAACTTGGGAACATGCAAACATCACTCCTACCATAAGAATTTTGCTTGGACTTTCATCATCATTCACACCACAGGTTCTTTTGGATGCTCGCGATTTTGGTAAATCATCATCTGTATCCACTTCATCAGGTGAAGATAATTGCCATCTTTCAGCAAAGGTGAGTGTCCTCTCATCAGGCGAAGAGGCCTCGCTCCAGGTGACATCATTTGTCATGGCGTGGTCTGTGACTACAGGGAGTGGAGATGCTGACGGTGTGCTGGGTCCTCCACTGTCTCCAGAGCTCTTCCGTGGGGACTGAAAATCTGCTGGAGGTGCACCGCTAGAGGAGAGCTTACTTTGCAAGAAATATTTCAAACGAGTTTTTCTAGGAAAACTGTTTTTCATAATGGCATTCCGGAGCTGAGACTCCTCTGCAATCACATACACTCGGCAGCGGCCCCTGGTCACGGCGGTGTAGACGTGCTGCCAGTGCTGGCGGCCCGCCTTCCCCACCACATAGACAACTGTTTGCTCCTCGGACCCCTGGGAGGAAAAATATGGTGTGAAGACTAAATGCTATAAAACAGGTTCAGACAGTTTACAGACAAGGAAAGGAGACAACTCCTCAAAGTGCTCTCAAGCACTTCTACCTGGCCAGACTATTATTATGTGTCCATCTTACGGGTTCCATTTTTATTCATCCTCCAGGAACTCTAAACACACTGCTAAACATGCTGCTAAGTTCAGGTCTCACAGGTCCACAACTGGCTTGTAGAAACCCAGCAGCAAACTTTAAAGACTGCATGCAGTACTAAATCTTTCCTAATAAAAGACTGAAATGATGGTACAGACTTCATGTGTAAATGTGTTGACCCATTACTACATATAATGGAAAAATATGAAAACTTCAGTAATAGTAAAACCATAGATATATTATATATAAATATATGTATATAAAATGTTACATATAATGATAAAATATGGAAATTTTAAGTAGCAAGTAATAGGTGAATATATATTATATACTTATAAAATATATACACAGTGGCATACTATTTTGTGAATATCAAAGATACTTTAAAACAACATTTTGAAAACCATATATATATATCTCTATATATACATAGATATATAGACACACACACATATAGAATGGTCACAACTGTATAGCAATATAGTTACTCTGATCCAAAACAAGTATATAAAAAAAGAACATAGCTATATACAATGAAACAAAACAAATCACAAAAACGGAGATAAATTCTACCAAATTTTTTATTAATGTCCCCAAACAGAGGGCCTATGGGTGATTTTTTTTCTCCTACTTGTCTGTATTTTTCCATTGTTGGGCAACTTATTTCTTTTATCAAGATAAACAAAAAAGAAAACAATGAACCTTTGTCTTTTAACAAAAAATTGGATAGGCAAGAAAAATACTCAATGTCATCCTGTAACTGTAAGAAAACAATTTCAAGTTTGAGGGCTATTCTTAGTCCTATATTCTGAGATCAGTGGATCCAGTGCCAACAGAGACAAAGAAATGGTTTGTACCATTATCTCCCCCATTGCTCCGACATTGCTCCTGCCAAAGGAAAAATTGTGGGAAGACAACTGACAAGATGGGGCAAGTAAAAAATACACATCCACTGCAAATAAACTCTTGCTCAGCAAGCTCTTCTACCTCTGTAGACAGAGTTTGAAGCAGCTTCTTAGATTGTAAAAGTTTGATAACCACATCTTTCCAATGTTGCTGGGTCTCAAAAATTGACATAAATGGTACTTGATTACATACATTTCCACAGATATATGGCACCACTCTTCACCTTGGACTTATATTGTGTATTCTCAAATATGAAAATGTCTACCTAAACTCAACTAACCTAGTTCTTAGTTATCAAGCGACACTGAGAAAAATATAGTTATAATAGTAGATATACTATTATTAATACTTAATGCTCTCATTATCAATCTCCCTGTACCTTCTCTTGCCCAATCCATCATCCTCATGGCAGCCACAGTGATATTTGTAAAATGCAAATTCAATCATATTAGACGCTGCTTAAAACCTCTAATGGCTCGCAGGGACTCCAAATAAAGTCCTAACCCCTTAATGTGTTTGTAAAGCCCTTCCAGAGCCAGCTTGGCCCTGCTCCTCTCCCTCCTTTTTTCCCTTTCTTTTCCATGAACCATGCTCCACCCAGCACAAGGGACTTCCAGGTGGTCCTGTCAGTATTCTTCAGTCCATGGCCTCGATCTGGCCCATGTCTGGAGTAGCCGCCCCATCTATTACTCTCCAGCACCTGTACTTCCTCTATCACAGGCTGTACCGACCCTAAGCTCCTAAGCTCCATGAAGGCAGAGCTTCACCTTTACCCCACTCACTGTTCTTTCTCCAGTACCTCACTGAATGAAGGATGATTAAAAATTAAAATGTCGGCCTGGCATAGTGGCTCACACCGGTAATCCCAATACTTTGGGAGGCCAAGGCGGGTAGATCACGAGGTCAGGAGATCGAGACCATCCTGGCTAACACGGTGAAACCCCGTCTTTACTAAAAATACAAAAAGTTAGCTGGGCGTGGTGGCGGGCGCCTGTAGTCCCAGCTACTCGGGAGGCTGAGGCAGGAGAATGGCGTGAACCCGGGAGGCGGAGCTTGCAGTGAGCGGAGATTGCCACTGCACTCCAGCCTGGGCGACAGAGCGAGACTCCGTCTCAAAAAAAAAAAAGAAAGATAACAATCATGAATCATGAATGCTCTTAGAGCTAAGAGATGCTACTTCAACCATGAAATAAGAACCAGAATATCTACTCCAACCTCAACCCAGTAATAATAAAGACACCTTTACTCTTCATTCGTTCTTACGGAAAAACTGGATTGTAAATTTAAGGAAATCTCTCAGAAAATAGAGCAAAGTTAATGAGAAGGAAAAGAGGACAGTTTGATAAGAAATTTAGGTAACAAATTCTGGAAGTCTAATATGCACATATTAGGAATTCTAGAGAGACAGAACGGAAGAAACTGAGAACAAGAAAATTTCCTAAAGGTGAAAGATGGCATCATAGAATCCATGGAAGAAATTTCTTCAGGACCCGAGCCAGGAATATTACTCTGTCTTTACCTGGGGAACTCTGGTCTTAAGGAAACTTAAAGCCAAATCTGCAATCGACATTAGCAAACAGGGAAGCGGGTACGGCTGCATTCCAACCACCCCTGGCAAGAACTGTTTTATCATCTTTAACTTTATTTTTCACTTGACATCCTTTCTATACATACATATATATACGTGTGTGTGTGTGTGTGTGTGTGTGTGT